ATCATGAAATCAACTAGAACTAAATCAAAATCACTAGAACTAACAGGAGCCCAACTAGAACTAACATAGCTACCAAAACTAACACTTATATTAGAGTTACACCAGAATCGCTAGAACTAACAGAAGACCAACTAGAACTAACATAGTCATCAGAACTAACACTTATATTAGAGCTAACACTAGCTGGAAGTAGAACTAACATGAAATTAGCTAGAACTAACACCAGAACCACTAGAACTCACAGGAGCTCAACTAGAACTAACATAGCCGTCAGAACTAACACTTAAATTATAGCTAATACTAGCTGGAAATAGAACTAACATGAAATCAGCTAGAACTAACACCAGAACCGTTAGAACTAACAGGAGCCTAACTAGAACTAACATAGCCACAAGAACTAACACTTATATTAGAGCTAACACTAGCTAGAAGTAGAACTAACATGAAATCAGCTCGAACTAAACCAGAACCACTAGAACTAACAGGAGCCCAACTAGAACTAACATAGTCACCAAAACTAACATTTATATTAGAGCTAACACTAGTTGAAAGTAGAACTAACATAAAATCAGCTAGAACTAACACCAGAACCGCTAAAACTAATAGGAGCTTAACTAAAACTAACTTAGCCACCAGAACTAACATTTATATTAGAGCTAACACTAGCTGGAAGTAGAACTAACATAAAATTAGTTAGAACTAACAACAAAACCACTATAACTAATAGGAGCTCAACTGGAACTAAAATAACCACCAAAACGAACACTTATATTAGACCTAACACTAGCTGGAAGTAGAACTAATATGAAATCAGCTAGAACTAACAACAGAACCACTAGAACTAATAGGAGTTCAACTAGAACTAACATAGCCACCAGAATTAACATTTATATTAGACTAACACTAGCTGGAAGTAGAACTAACATGAAATCAGCTAGAACTAACACCAGAACCACTAGAACTAATAGGAGCTCAACTAGAACTAACATAGCCATCAGAACTAACACTTATATTAGAGCTAACACTAGCTGAAAGTAGAACTAACATGAAATTAGCTAGAACTAACACCAGAACCACTAGAACTAACAGGAGCTCAATTAGAACTAACATAGCCACCAAAACTAACACTTATATTAGAGCGAACACTAGCTGGAAGTAGAACTAATATGAAATCAACTAGAACTAACACCAGAACCACTAGAACTAACAGGAACTCAACTAGAACTAACATAGCCGCCAAAACTATCACTTATATTAGAGCTAACACTAGCTGGAAGTAGAACTAACATGAAATTAGCTAGAACTAACAGCAGGACTACTAGAACTAATAGGAGCTCAACTAGAACTAACACTTATATTGGAGCTAACACTAGCTGGAAGTAAAACTAACATGAAATCAGCTAGAACTAACAACAGAACCACTAGAACTAACAGGAGCTCAACTAGAACTAATATAGCCACAAGAACTAACATGATATCCTTTAGAACTAACACGAAATCTACTACAACTAACACAAACTCAACTAGAACTAACACAAATTTTAGAACTAACATAGATATTAGAACTAACACGAGCTAGAAGTAGAACTAATATGATATCCATTAGAACTAACACGAAATCCACTAGAACTAACACAGATATTAGAACTAACATAATATCCATTAGAACTAACACGAAAATAATGTCTTCTTTTTTATATATAATAATATTATACATAGCATAATTTTGACCGAGGAATTTACGTACCTAGAAATAATTGTTAGAACCAACGTCAATTTAACACCTCCTAAATTTTGCACATTTTTCCATCCAAACATCTCCCACAATTTTAACATACAGACCAATAAACTAAAACCAAGAACATCCAAAACCCCCAAACCCCCAACTCCTCAAATCGTATCCCTAACCCTCACCCTCAACCCTAGCTTTCTTTGGCGGCTTGCCACGTGGCCGTGAGATCCCCTCTAACGCCTTTGCGACAATGATGGCGACGAGCGTGAGGTGAGAGAGAAAGAGAGAGATGGGCCTCCGGCAACTTCTCTGCATACTTTGATTCCAGGTATTTCGATATCACCGTCTTGTTTGAGCCAGCTTTCTCGTCTAAAGCCTTAATTGCGCCCAAAATCATCTGCCCATTAAAAAATCATCATCAAATTAGTTGGAAAAAAATCAAAATTTGAAGGTTGGGGGGAGGGGGGTTAGGGTTAGGATTAGGGTTCATACCTCAGAGTAAGAGGGGAGAGTTGACGGCTTGTTGGCTTTATTTTCAGTGGTCATGACGGAAGTGAGAGAGAAAAGAGAAGTTGAGAGATAGAGGGTGAGAGAGAGAGAGAGAGAGAGAGAGAGAGAGAGATGAGATTAATGATGCAGAAATTGAAAATAAATAGGGAGGGAGCGCAATTACTGTGCTTAATCAAATCAAATGGTGAATTTGTAACTTTCGCTAGGCTTTTCTCGGGGTCCTCTACTTTGGGGCTTGAACACAAATACAGTGTGTGTTTAGGGTTGAATCACATTGACCAAAATACAAAAGGCCGGATCACATGGGGTTTCTACTTTTGGAGCCTCGACATATTTTTCCCTAGATAAAAATACCAAGTGAAGGTATGGCAAAGTTTGACGGACTGGGGTCCCCCATTGAAATTGCGAGGGTACTTTGGTAGTTTCATATAATGTTTTTATATGATCATTGCACGTCATTTGATGTGCCTTTCCCACTCTGTGTCACTGAGGCGCTGTCTCTCGTCTTAGAACTTATTTTTAATGCAGTAATGCGCTCCTCTTTTTATGTCTCTCTCAAAAAATAATTGATTAATAATAATAATAATAATAAATTAATATAAGAAAAATATAACAGGTTAGTTAAGAAACAGCATTATTTTCGAATCCTTCAAATTTTATCAATAAAATAATTTTGTATAACATCATTTAAGTTTTTCTCCAGAGAATACTGGTGTACGCGGCGGAACAAACACAAACGCCGAGAGAGAAAGTCAAAACAATCCAAAATAACGGCAACAACTCAAACACAAAAGTTTAACGTGATTCGGCAAATTGTCTACGTCCACGGGGCAAAAAGGGATGAGTTTCCATTATAGAAAAAGAGAGTACAAAGTAGAGATTACAAGATCACTCAACTAACCTCTCAAACAAATCTCTCAAATCTCTCAAACTAAACCCTCAAACAAATTGCTCAGAAAGATCTCTCTTTTCTGTACTCAAAATCACACTAAACCCTCAAACAAATTGCTCAGAAAGATCTCTCTTTTCTGTACTCAAAATCACCTTCAAGCTACCCAATCAATCAATAGAAAATCCTAAAAAACGTGGCTAACAAAACACAATCCCAAACAGATTAGGATTCTAAAAAACAAGTCTGTCACACTCTGGTGTGGCACACACCACACCCATGACAAACAGGGGAGATTCTGCCATAGCGGGGTGCGACAGACACCACAACCATGATAAACATGACAGATTCTGTCACACCCTGCCACCTGGATGTGGCAGACACCACATCAGGGTGTGGTGGAGTCTGTCTTGCTTATTTTTCACGTTTTTCTCAATTCTTTTCCTCAATTCCTTCGTTGTTTTCACAAATACATGAAAGTTAAACAAAATTTAACTTTGACACTCAAACTCAAGTTTTATTTAAATTTCCACTTTTCAAAATCTCTGCTTATTAGGATACTAAGCTATCATGTTTTCAAAATGACATATAACTGTAAAAATTCATTTTTAATAAAACGTTAAGTTTAATAAGGAAATCTTATGTGGCACATGCAAAGCTGCTAGTATATTTTATTAATCTACCATATTGCAAGTCTATTTCTAAATATAATATTTGCTAATTTACTTTAAGGGCTGTTTGGTTGCACACTTTTTGAGAAAACTTTTCTCAAAACATCTGACAATGGGAAATTTATAATTAAAAGTTTTCCAGATATTTCTGTAAATTGTGTTTGGCTCAACAAAAAATTTACAGAAATATTTTCTATAAAATATCAAAACCTACCAAATTTTACACAAAAGCAATTTCCTCTCAAAATGAGAGGAAATCACCAGAAATCTGACACATACCATATTTAATTAAAAACCTACCAAATCTTGTTATTTTCTATAAAGTTATGAGTTATTTTCTTGTTTTGAACCAAACAAGTAAAGTACAAAAAATAAGAAAATTGGTACTTTTTGATTTCTCAAAAATTTTCCTATAAATTTTTTAAGAAATACAAGGAAATCATAAGTGGAAAACATTTCCTATAATTTCTAGAAATTGAACCAAACACCCCCTAAATCTCCCACAAGGGTTTTTTTTACATCCCTCAATTTTAAATATCAATAATCTATTAACTATTAATTGATCAATTTATAATTAGATCGATATAGAGAGAAAATGAAAGAGCTTGAGAGAAGATACTTACTAATTTACCCTCCTATACACCCCCCCACCCCAAAAAAAATCTCTGTTTCTCTATAGTTATTAATTAATAAAGTTAATTAGTTAAATCAGGGATATATTAGTTATATTGATAATTGAGGGAAAAAAAACCAATGTGATTGGAGGTAAGTTGGCATATCTAGATTTGGGGGTAAATATGTAAATATGATACATTTTTCGAGTATACATGCTAAAAATCCTAAGTAATATTTTTAAGCATAAAGGCATTGTTCCTCCTTAAATCATTTTATTCTTAGTTACAAGTTACCACAACATAATAAACTAGTGACTCAAGGTTCTAGTGAAGAAAAGGAGAGGCCATCAATCATCAAGAAGATCGTACAATTGGATCGTTAAAATTCTTTCTTCCAAAATATTTTTTATTTCGCCTTCTCCTTTTCATTTTCTTGTCAAACTCCCTTTGAGGTAAAATCACATTCAAAATCTGCAATTTGTACATCAATGATGCCTCGTAAATATTCACAATGCGACAAGCACCACACACAAAGGAAGTCAAACAGACTACATACAAGTAACAAGGCAACGACACGAGACAACTGCAATTGCACGGTACCAACTAATGCGTTTAAATATGTATATTCACAAGGAATATCTATAATACATGACAGTAATATTTGCAAACCATAATATATATTTACAATTTCTTTCAGTTTGTAAATAAGTGATCTTCCAGGTTCTATTCTTGTACAAATGGCCGTATTTAGAAACACTTTTACAGCTCCATTACGAGATTTTGTCGGGTTTCAAGAAGCTGTAACATTCTAGTTGCTTCATCTCTCCGCCATTGGTTGGATCAAATTCGCATCTGTAGAAGCTGCAGGATCAAACAAACAGATAATATAAGGTTTTATCCAGATGGTAATATAGCAGAAATAGTTAAAAAAGATGAAGATAAGAAATAGTTGGTGAAGGAAGTTTAACAAGTGAAGGTGACAGGTTAGGTCAAAAGTTTCGACTTTAAGGCTGAGCAAAAAGACGAGCAATAGAAAAGGATTTCCGACCTATAATTTCAATTTGTCGCTTTTCCTATATATATTTCAACTTTTATTATGCAAACCAACGAGGTAAGCAATGATGTCGTAACCTTGATTATTTACTTATATATCTCATAACATCGAGGACGTATTCAACACAAATAAGTGAACGAGGTAAGCACTGATGTTATAAACTTGATTATACTTATATTATCTCATAACATTGAGGACATATTCAACGCAAGTAATTGACAAAATCCACTAAGGTAATGTTAAGATACCTCCCATCCATCCCAAGGATAACTATGGTATTCTTCCGATGGCCGAAAGCAACAATACACTGAGAACCTTCATGCAGTCGAAACTGAGCCACTGACCATTCTGAATGAAAATATTTCGGCAAGACTCCTGCAAAAGAAACCCAGAAAGAGCTTAAGAGAAGAAACGTTTCTAGCAAATTTTCACTAGACGAGTAGGTATAATTAGGGGTGAACAACTCCTAAGCAGTCAAAACATCTAGCCAACCTAGGGCTGGACAACCTCCTAAGCAGTTAATACATCATCAGGCATCAATCGAAAACAACTTAATACTCGAAACATGACTATCAAACACAGTAAAATGTACTGATCCACAAAGCTCAAAGCAATTAATTGAATATTGTACATTGTACAAAATAATAATTGAAGCCCAAATCATACGGTTAATTAAATCCAAAGGTCAAAGGAATACACTGAATTTGATCATGTCACAGATGCCCCAAATAGTCATCAGTCTCGCCGAAGGACAAATTGACAAATAAGGTTGATCTGAGGCACTCACACATTGTAAATGAAATATCATTACCGACAATAATCAAACTTGATGGCTTGTGCTAAACTGCTTTACTAACCATCCCCGTCATAATATTAGTCATCCGATAGCAGAGGTTCCTCTTAGTTCCAGAGAACAGGAAGGAGACAACTCTACGTGAGTTGCCAACAAACAAGTCCATAGCTAAAAATACTAAGTCATAGCTAAAAATACTAAGTCATGAAACTAGTTAATTTCAGATTCACAAAAAGAATGCAGCCTCTAGAAAATCAAATGATTTCCTTCAATGAGATGCAACCAATAATTTGAGCAACGAAAAAACCTGCTCACTAAAGAGATTCAACAGTTTCGGCAGGAGCTAGATAAAACAATGAATAAGCTTGAAAAACATTGCTCTAATCCAATTACTGGCATTTCATTCAATATTTCCTAAAGCAGGCATATGACAAAATTGCAGTGAGTAATTTCTCACCATCAAGGGCATATGTATATCCTATTTATGCCTTGACTTACTTACTTGCACTGAGAAACTAAAACTACGCTTATTTATACTCCTAAAGCTAAGTACTTTTTTGTTAAAAAAAAGGGCTTGCCAGATATTTTTCATGTTCAGTTTATTTATACTCCTTCCTTCCTGGCTAAGTTAGCATGGAAACGGGTATGAGTGCTGATACCGGTGCGGGTGTGCATACGGGACACGACAAAATTGTAAAATGTATGTTGTGGGACACAAGTCACACAACTACATTTATCTATTGAAATTAATAATTCACATGAGATCATTCTATTCGTGTTTCACTAGGATTAAAATTCCTATGACATTTTAAGTTTATATTATTATCTTAATTATTATAAATGGGAAGCTACTCGGCTTGAACTAGACACCCAAATGACCCTTTAAAATCATAGTTTTTAACTTGGGTACGAGCTGAAACGAACCCCGCCCATGTCTAACGAGTTTCAAGAAACGGATGTGTAGGGTATATGTCCAAGAAATGTTTGACAAGTGTTTTAAACTAAAACATATATCATATACTTGAGCATATATCTAAGTAGATGTATGCACATGTCCAAGGGGCGTCCATGAAGTTTGGGTATGAATATGTATAAGGTACCAGTATGGCTTCATGGTTTAGGTTTAGCGCTGTTTGAAGAGTTGTTAGGTTGTCAAGCATAAACAATATGAACAGGTAGATAATGCTAGCTGCCGCGTATGGCTGCTATATTTTATAATCCTCTCTGACCACACACAGCGCTATTGGACCAGGAACTTGGCACCAGCTGACCATAAAAAGTTTCGACTGTTCGTTCCAGGCGTTTTAGATTTTAATCTCGCGCCATAACCAATCCCATTAATGCAAGAAGCTAGAAGACTGACGATGATGAGAAACAATAAGGTCACCTTTAATGAAGGACAAGGATGAACTTGGAGCTGGAACATTTAGCTCTGGTGCAGGACGAGGCTTGTCATTTCCTGTCAATCCCAAATTAATCTTGAGGCTGAATACATGGACAGTTCCCTTGTCACTTGAAACTGCTAACCATTGCATGTTTTCTGAGAAAGCCAAACTATATATCTCTGCTCTGTCAGCACCTCGCCTCACCTATGTAAATATATAGCAACGTAAAAAGAAAGAAATGTGAATTGTTAATAGTAAAAGAAAATTACTCTATGGAAATAAAGGGCTACTGTTAGTTGTTGAAATCCAGAAAATTATGATAATAAAAAAAACAATTACCTCAAGGTTAGAAAAAGACGAGTTATGTAGAACAGAAGAACCAGAAGAAGAGGTAAAAAAGCTCGAAAAATCCTCACATTTTCTTAGAAAAAATAAAATTGTGCACTCGTAATTCTAGCTGACACCTCCAATGCAATGCATACATTATACACACACACACACAATTACAAAGCTATGATTTGTATGTGTGTTTGTTACGAGGAGAGATGTACAGGAATAATAAGGACCACAGTGTATCCATTACAAAAATGGTATCCAATTCACAGTTTACTGATCACACTTTGATTGGATATCTCTAGCAAGAAGTTTGTGAAAGGACCAAAATGAAGAAATGTCCCCATTTAGAAGGAGGAGAACCAAGATTATGAATTCTTGAATCTATGTTTCAATACTTCTTGATAATTTAACAAGGGGTTTTAGCAGATATATCCCTGCGTTTTTTTATTATAAATAATGTATATTTCCTTACCTTATTGATGACAAGAAACCCCTCCTTATGTACTTTATTTTTCAAGAAACCTCATCATCCAAAATGTTGAGAAAAAAAATACCCATCATCTGTAATCACTAATACCTTTGTTTCGTAATGGAGTTCAAATTTTTAAACGTTTATAATGGTTATTGATGAGAATTTTTCTTAAAAAATGACAATATAGATGAATGGGTTTCTTGTAATTCCTATCATATATGCCCTTAGGTTTATAAATTATTTTATGATAATGTCCTTCATTCATGTTATAGTGTAGAAAATTGGATGACAGCATATACGACAAATATATTCTTGAATTATCCACCCAAATATATTTTTCACGAGAATATACTCATATTTCATTAATCCTAGCAACAAAAGTGGATAGGTTAAAGTAACATAGTTATCAAATGATTATGACCAATAAGTTAAGCTAGCTTGTCTTAAACCACAAGAAATAACTTAAGATATGCATAAATTATTTCAATCTAACATCAATCAAATTTCTCCAAATTGTCAAATAAAAGAAGGATATAGCTGTAACATAACTAATAAACATAAGGTTGTCAAATTAAGTATTTAAAGTGCAAGGAGAAATATGGCATTTCTCATACACACAAGGACATATATGCTAAAATCCCATTTACAGGAATAGGATCTCAAAAGGAGGATTATTACACTTTTTTGCCCTTTCTGTAGCTCGGAAGGATAACAAAGGGAGGGAGGGAGAAATCTACCAATCTAAGTACCAACCTATTTGTAATCGTCAGAGAACATAAACTGGAATAATGTTTATAAATTATCCAAAAAATTTATCAGCCGCAGAAGACCACATTTATGCATATATCACATACACGTGTCTTCCTTTCAAATGAACCACAAAGGTAAGCATGAAATTTAATAACGTCAGAGATTTTTATAGCATATTGTAAGCATCAAAGTCTAAGCATTTAACAACCAGATATAGAAGGTTGTACTTTGAAGTACTTTTCTCAAAACACTAAGAGCATTACTTTGAACATGTCACAATTTAGAACTCAAGTGCACTATACCAATGAATACCAATTCCTTAAAAACAACAAAACTGGAGAGAAAAGAAATGGTATCAAGGGCATCAACAAGATTACTTCTCAGGCTTTAGGTATTTATAGGCACTAGTTTTAGTGTCTTGCTCCTACATCCCATTAGTACACAATATATACAGCCAGCAGATTGGTTTTTAAATAGTTATATGCTCCCTCACAGTGCACTCTTAACTCTCAAAGATCACCTTATGTGCATGCACCAAAGTGTCCTTAACTGAAAAAACTCACATAAGATCTTCTAAGCACTATTACGCAACTAAACTTTAGAGCTACTGTTACAACCATTTCTCGCCAAACACATGAAGGTAAAGCTTACATAGGCTTGCCTCTCTCCAGAAAAATATAGTTGAACTCACAAGTAACCATTGCTTTCAGTATCTATACTTAGCAGTTATCTCTGCTTATATTTTTGCTGTACTTTATGAAAGCATAGTTAGAGATCATCTCCAAAAACAGTTTACTTTGCAGTTCCTCTTTGTGAATGTATCATAAACCTACATTTCTGACTATAATTAAAAATCATTCGATCATCCTGGTGTTTAAAACCAATTATCCCTGTGTCCTTTGACTAGGCTCTAACTGAAGTTACAATGCCACACTTCTCTACTGAAAAATGCCACACTTCTCTACTGAAAAATAAATCATGTTGCTACTAGTACTACAGTGCAAATATTGTGACCTGTTCAGCAGTTTCTTCTTGAGATTCAAATAATCAATATAAGAAATCAAACCTTCTCCCAATTCACTCTCATAACGAATGGCTAACTGCTTCCTATGTCATACAATATGAAGCTAAGATTTTTGCCAAACTATCTGAGTAATCACATCCACCCAAGAGGCACCGAACATCAAAAAGATGCATGATCTTGATGACTACAACTTACTTCAAATCATTTTCAATTGACATTTTACAGTAAAATTTTGAGGTTACATTTTAATATTAATTGTAACAAGATTATCCATCCTTACATGGGAAGTCAGAACAGTCAGAAACAAGTCCTTGAACTAATATAATAATAGCGGTCACCAGCGATAAAGACTGAAGTATAATCTAATCAGCATTTTGAAAATCTACTACAATCAGTGGGACAGTACTATCTACAATAACTAGTCAGCTTTGGTGTTAATTGTTTGCGAAGTTGAGTTAGATAAACTACGGATCTAAATGGATAAGCCAGACAGTTGAGTTAAATAATTTATAATATGGCACTGCTCTCATACTACAAGATGAACTAGGTTCCGCTTCTCTTTTCTCTAGATTTGGAATAAGAGATACCAGCATTTTCCCAACGAACCTCCATTCACTTAGTATTATACTATATAGAAATTATATAAAATAATCACAAACTGGGAACACAAAATGATAAAGATAACAATGATAATAATAACAGCATTCAAACAATTTACATCACCTTTGGAAACTAGCTCCAATTTCCATGGGTTGAATGACAAACCCAAGCATATTATCTAGATGCACTTAGTTTCGCATGTTTGTTGATAAAGAAAAATGGTGGAGATAACCAGTGTGATCGCCGAATAGCCAGAATGCTCATTGTTTCTTGTAGTGACCTTTGGTCAATGTGGTCCAACCTTTTCGAAGTCTTTATCCATCATCTTCATGACAAGTGGTTGCATAACCAGGCACATCAAGCTACCTCGTCCATATTAAATTCTTCTGCTTCGCATCTAAACACCACCTAGGATAGTGCCCAAGGTACTTTTTGTAAAAATCCCCTAAATGGAACCTCTTGTCTAGCGTTGCAGTTAATATCGCAAGCAGCCAGTCCAAGCGCCACTTCTTGTTGGATATATTTTAAACCCCTCGTCTTAGGACTATGCTGAGGAGTTGCTCCAATCAGACTCTCTTCATCACCAAGTTGGAACGTATCTTCACTAATCACTAGTTGGTATTTTCTTTTCTAATATCCATACACTAGAATCCTGTTATTGAAATTTTTTTAAATGATTAACCAAACTTGCTTACGCCTTGGACTGCTTAGTAGAAACCTCAATAGTTTAGTTCCTTCTCTTCTATATGTGCTAACAATTGATTTTTGGCTGTCTAATAACCATATGTGTAGAAGTATTCTATAACTGAGAAGCCTTTAAATGAATCACCAAACTCATTTAATGGACGGACACAGCCAGATCATAACCCTGATTCCTAGCTATTCTTTATGTGGT